TTCCTAATATGCAATCCTAATCTTGTATACAAATATCAAGTGAACTATGGTCCGTTATGGATCGCTACACGTGCCAACAGTTACCTCAACTGTCCTTGTGCCTTCTCAGGTCTCCGCCGAGCGTTCAACTGCTAGTCGCACCCACCGAAGAGTCGCTCGAACCGTTAATTTGCAAGAAGTAGTAGCATGAAAGTGAATGTAATGGTCGGTAACGGGAATTTTTAGACAGTAATCTTCACTATTAACACTCCACAGCTTTGATCTACCTCGCGAAATACATTACGCTGGACAGGATCTGGGCTCGCTTGGATATCTCGATACATATCTCGAAACACGTGCCTCTAATTATCAAAGAGCGAAAACGCATGAACAACGAGGGTTGCAATTGGGTGGTGAGGGGAACTTGCCGAGCATTAGCACCTGCTTTGGTGGTCTAATCGATAAAAAGACGTCGGATGGACATGTTTTAAATAGTGTCACCTTTAATCTATCGATATTTTTTTTTTGAAATTTCAACGATTTATTTAATTACAGTAAGCAGCCAAGAAAATTGTTAGTGTTGCGTTTGGAATGACCAGGAGCAATCCAAAGACTACCCTTGGTCTTGGTAATCGGCGTCATCAAACTGGACGGTGCGTGCCACCTCCATCGTCATGTCAGTAATTCGTGCTTGTTTTTCCTGCTGTCGTGAGCGGAGTGCCGTTGCATGTGTGTTGCATAAAATTACGATTCTTACAAAGATTGATGTTTGTCATGAGGTCGTTTTAATTGGCTTGTGTTTCACGCGGTGATAACCTGACTCTCCTGTCAGTTTCGTGATCTCGACCGTAATCACCACTGACTTAAAGATTTTACCGACCAGACCCGGAACACACACCCCACGATCAACGCCAACCCGCCCCTTGAAATTGGGCGCACACAATTCTGGGAGCGATCTCTTCGCTCTGATAGTATGTGGTGCTTTTAACGTTGTGGCTGATAATACGGCTGTGTTGTATTTTCATAAAGTACGGTTAACGCTTTTGTGATATCAAGGATTTAACTATACCAACCAAAGTAATCAGCAAACAAAGGTTAGAGATATCATTGACTACTTCAATACTAAGATGTACGCATGTACGAACCCCACAGCATTATTAAGCAAAAATAACCAAAATTGAAATGCGATGATTCTCTAGGAAGTGCAGCACTACTGTAGCTAAAATAGCTCATAATGCTGCAGAACGGAGTGATTACATGTGTCAGCAAAAACTAGAACGAAAAGACGACAATGTCGGCGTTGGACTCAGAGCTCTTGAGCACAGTCACCACTGGTCCATGCATTAAATGCAGCAGCCGGAGAGCTTGACAGCAGGTTTCCTGTCGATGTGGCAGTGGTTAGTGGCGTTAGAATCATGTAGTTTCTCTCCGTAGTTGTTTCTTGCGGATGAACGGTTGGGGATGGCACCAGAACTGCTTTAGTATTTGACAGCCCCTGCGACGCTGGTACTAGGAGCTGTGGGCCCTGAGGCGCGCACGAAAACCCCGCTTGATCATCAATCCCACGCTTGTTCGACATTGGGCCACATTCTACGTTTGCAGGAATCCAGACGGCGCCGCTTGTTGTCCTTGGTACATCGCAGCGTGAGAATGCAGTGGCACCGAAACCGCAGACAATACCACCAACAATGTCTGAGCAGTTGCAGGTTGCGCTCGAATCATGATCACCAATGGTTGGTCCTGCCGGGGAGCGCATTCATTTCTATTACCATGAGTAGTTGCCACTTGGGCAGGGGTATGAAATCGGTGTCCTGCAATTCGAATACCACCCGGCTGCGGATGTATACATGGTAGCTCGTCAGGGTTTTTCTCCTTGGGCCGCAGTACAGCTGCTTGATGTAGGTTTCTCCGCTATTGCTGCAGGTCCAGCTGTGTGCTCTGGGGGATGGTTCTCGTCTGCAAGTTTGGCAAGCGGCGTGTCCACTGGCGGCGAACGTGCACATTTCCAGGACGCAAATGCTCTTGATTCGCCGTCTGGGCTCCCGTTGAATTCGTCTTGCGCTTTCCGCGACCCGGACGGACGGTCACAACACGATTTACCTGCTTCTAGTTGCTCCCCAGGTATGCTGGAGAGTTCGAGAGAGCCTGGCGTGTTTGGTTTTGCCCACACACAACGCTTGTACCAAGCACGCTATAGATCGTTTTTGATACTGATCCCGGCAGCATAGCCAATAGAGAGGTTTCGCAAGCCGGAAATTCCTGTTCCAGTCAGATGCGGAGCAGCTCTCGTCGGAGCTGAGTGGACCAGTTGTCTTATGATTTCGCAGGCAAGTCCATTCACAATCAGATGGTAAGTCATCGAACCAACTATCGGAGGAATTTCGCTTGTCCACTAACCTTTCTGTTTGTCGCCAGTAGAGACATTATTGCCATGTGCTGCAGTGCGCTCAAGAGAGCTTGTGGCCTCGCCCTTAAATCGCAGACGCCGCCTCTCCCAGGCCGGTGCTTTAGTTCTGTCTCAGCATTTTACATTCCGCGTAAACGAAGACAAGAATGGTGCAAGGGCAAGCAGAAGGACGCGGCGTGGCTGATGAAGCCGCTGGAGGGTCTAAGCGTTGAGGATACGCGAGCCGTCGTAGCATGATGCAGAGAGCTTCTATAGCCATAACCCGGTCCCTGTGCGCTGTGATGACCACAGCAGGCACTTGGAGCAGAACGCAGAGGCGCTGCAGCCCACCGATGTCACAGCGGAACTCTAGATCACAGTTAGCGTCGGTGAAGA